GGTATAATCTCCTTTGTCCCATAGGCTAGGGAGAAAGGGGTTTCACCCACGGGGCTTTGTGGTGTCATCTTGTAAGCCCATAGTACTCATGGGAGTTTGTCTACCCATAGTCCTTTTGCACTCTTTAATCTAGATTTCAAATTGCATAGGACGGTCCTCACTGTAACCTCTTCTTGCCTGTGGATAGGCGGGACTAGAGTGGGGCTACTAGATCTGGAGGTCTGCATAGAAACTGTTAAGGAGTTTGTTGTCAAACTGCTTGGCATTGTCACTCACAATGGTGTGAGCTATTCTGAAGTGGTAGACTAGACTCCTCCATATAAAGTCCTTTATTTTCTGGTCCATTATTCTAGCTAAGGCTTCAGCTTCTACCCACTTAGTAAAGTAGTCGATGGCTATGACTACGAACTTACACTGGCCTCGACTCATAGGGAGGGTACCCAAGGTGTCAATCTACCTCATGGATAACAGCCATGAGCTCTGAATGGTGGTGAGCTCTTCAGGTGGCTGTCTAGGCACAGTTATAAATCGCTGGCACTTGTCACATTTTTTGACAAACTCACGGGCGTCTCTGATTATGGTAGGCCAATAATATCCCTGTCTGACTACTTTGTGAGCCAGTGCACGCCCTCTTGAGTGATTCCCACATATCCCCTCATGGATCTCTCTCATGGCGCAATTGGCTTCGTTGGGGGAGAGGCAGCGAAGTAGTGGGAGAGAATAACTTTTCTTGTAGAGGATGTTTTGCAGGATGACATACCTGGACGCTCTCATTCTCAATCTCCTAACTTCCATTGGGTTGTCTGGGAGAGTGCCCTCCTCTAAGTAAGCTTGGATGGAAATCACTCCGAGGATGCACAATAGACATCGTCCTCCTCTGTCTTGGAGGTGCAAGGCTCAAACTGGTGACTTGTCAACACAGGGCCCATGAGTATGTTGGCAGAGCAAACTTGGCGAGGTCGTCTTCCATGGCGTTCTCCTATCAAGGCACATGGTTGATTTGGAAGTAGGTGAAATTTTTTAGCAGGGCCCAGATTACTGTGAGGTACTCTTGCATTCTTTTCTCCTTGGCTTCAAAGTCTCCCTGTACCTGAATGACTATGAGCTGAGAGTCACTGTAGGCTTTTAAGTAGAGGGCCTCTATCTCCAACACCAGCTTCAAGCTTGATATGAGGGCCTTATATTCAGCTTGATTGTTTGATGTGGCAAAACGGAGAGAGATGATACTTTAATGGAGTGCCATGAGGGCTGACCAGCACTAGTGCCACGCCACTACCCTCGCTGGTGAAGGACCCATCCACGTAGAGTCTTTAACCTGGTATAGTAAGTGGTGGAGAGGGAGCTGAATCTATAGGCAATGCTATAAGTGATGAGGGGAGTTGTGATGGTGTAGAAGAAGTAGGAGGTTGTGGACTGCTGGGCGAATCCTAGAGAGAGAGGAAAGTGGGATGAAATGGAGGATGAGAGGGCCATATCCTAGGCATAGTGGGCAGTGCCAAGGGCCAAGTGGGCGGCGTCCAGGGCTGCCCAATTTGTGGGGCTGCCTCTGGTTCCTTCTTCGGGTCGTCGAGTCCTACTTGGGTAGCGTCTAGTCTAGTCTCCTGATGGGTGGAGTCAATGTGAACAGAGTAGGGGGTGTAAGGGCACATAGTACTTCTTCTTGTGACTCATGTGGTGGTGTAGACTCTGCTACGAAATCTACGAGTGCTTGTGCTTTGATGGCTGATTATGGCTGATACTGTACATCGAACTCGCTTAACTCAACAACCCACTTGAGAAGTTAGTCGGAGACATTAGGCTTCCCCAAAATCCTCTTGAGTGGTTGATTTGTGACAACCACGATAGTGTGGCTCTGAAAGCAGTGGCATAGACGCCTAGCGGTAGTGACAAGGGTGAGGGCCAATTTCTCGAGTTCTGAATAGCTTACCTCTGCCCCTCAGTATGCCCTACTTACACAATATACAAGCTTCTGGATGTCTCCATCTTCCCTGATGAGGACAGAGCTCACAAAGGGGTGAAGATAAGAGGTAAAGGTGCAGGGTCTCTCTTGGTACAACATGAGAGAGTAATGATGGTGTGGCGAGGTAGGTCTTGAGTTTCTAAAAGGCCTCCTCTGCATCTAGGCCCTACTGGAAAGACTTACGGAAGATTTTAAAGAAGGGTAGGCATTTATCTACTGATTTATAGACAAACCTGTTGAGGGCTACTATTCTCTCATTAAGACGCTGGACCTCCTTTGTTGAGGCGGGGTATTTCATCTCCAAGATGACTCTGATCTTGTCTGGGTTGGCTTCAATATCCCTTTTGTGAACCATAAAGCCTAAGAATTTTCCCAAACTGATGCCAAAGGTGCACTTTTCAGGATTCAGCTACATCCTGTAGACTCTTAACACGTCGAAGGTCTCCTGCAGGTGCATGACATGGTCTGCCGCAATTATACTCTTTACTAGCATGTCATTTACGTAGACCTCCATCGTCTTCCTAATCTAGGCCTCGAACATCTTGTTGACAAGGCGCTGATAAGTGGCTCCAACGTTCTTGAGCCCGAAAGGCATCATTCTATAGCAGTACGTGCCTCTCAGGGTAATAAATGAGATTTTCTCCTCATCTGGAGGGAACATGCTGACCTGGTTGTAGCTGGAGTAGGTGTCCAAGAAACTCAGGAGTTCGTGTTCAGTGGTGACGTTAATGAGGAGGTCAATGTGTAGAAGAGGGTAGCTGTCCTTAGGATAGGTCTTGTTGAGCTTTGTGAAGTTCATGCAGAGACGTCACTTCCCATTGGCCTTTGTCACCATCACCACATTGGATAACAAGTCTGGATAGGCTACCTCCCTCACTAATCCATTCATCAATAGCTTGTCTACCTCTTTCTCCATGGCCTCCCCCCTCTCAGCATTTACACTCCTCAACTTCTGGCGCACAGGCTTGTACCTGGGGTCAACGTTGAGTCAATGGGAGGCCACCTCGGGTCAATGCCCTCCAAGTCTTCATGGGACCAGACAAAGACATCCATGTTCTACCTGAGAAATTCAATCAAGATGGAGGCCTGCTCATGGGAGAGTGAGGAGCCTACGTAGACCTTCCTCTCTGGAAGGCTGTCATCCACCACTATAGGGCGGAGTTCTTCTGCTAGTTCCCCCTCTCCAAGATACTGTCATCGCTTGGGTCAAGTACCTCGACCTAAAGAGTCTCATGTGGTCTTCTCGCCCTCATCGAGGCCACGTAGCACTCTCAGGCAGAGACCTGGTCTCCTCTGATCTCTCCAATCCCACTAGTAGTTTGGAAACGGAGGAGAAGGTGGTAGGTAGAGGGCACTGCCCTTAGGGCATTGAGGATAAGGCGTCCAAGGATTATATTATGTGCAAAAGGGCAATCAAGTACAATAAAATTTACCATGATAGTGGAGCTCCTTGGTGCAATTCCTCTTGTGACAAGCAGGGTCATAGATCCCAAGGGGTAAACTCTCTTTCCCGAGAAGCCAACCAAGGGAGTCCTGATAGGATACAGTCTCTCCCTGCTGAGGTGAAGGTTATCATAGGCTATTGCGAATAGAATGTCAGTTGAGCTGCCGTTGTCGACTAGGACCCTCTTAACCTGGTAGTTGGCTACCATCAGGGTTAGGACCAGGGGTCATTGTGAGAGACTTAGATCCCCTCAAAGTCCCTATCTGAGAAAGTGATGACCTCTTCCTCCCCATGTCGGGGTGCCTTCTTTGGGCGAGAGTCATGTGACTTTGTCTGTCTGGCACTCTGGGCGTGTGCTTTTCTCGTAAAGTTGGAGTCACCTCCTCCTCCTAGCCCTCCTACAATAGTTTGGATCTCTCCAAGGGGCTGTTGGAGTTCTCATTTCTCGTGTGGTGGAGCTAATTCTCGACCAGTAACATACTGCCTCAGCTAGCCATGCTGAATAAGCTCCTCAATCTACCTCTTTAACTAGAAGCAGTCGTCCGTATCATGACCGTGGTCGCAGTGGAAGCAACAGTTCTTACTGGAATTTCGGCATTTGGGGTCAAACTTCATCTTTCCGGGCCAACGGATCGCAAATTCATCCTATATCTAGAATAGAATATGTTCCACTGAGGTGTTGAGTGATGTGAAAGGCTGTCGATCTCTCGGGTGTCCTTTATTTTCTCTCCTCCTCAAGAGGACTCACCTCTACAGGCTTTGGTGACGTCCTCGACGTTCATGTATTTATGTGCCCTAGATAACAGCTTGGGCATGCTGGAAGGCAGCTTCTTGAGGACGGAGAACATGAAACTGGAGGAGCAGAGACCAACGATAAAGGCAGCCAAGGCTACCTTATCATCTGGTTCCTCAATCTAGAGAGCCTCTTTATTGAAATGGGTAAGGTAGTCTCTGAGGCTTTCATCATTGTCCTGCTTGATGGTGAGCAGGTGGGTCACAGGTTTCTAATGTCGACGTCCCCCAAGTGGGAGACGAAGGATCTACTCAGTTCCATGAATGAATGGATGGAGGAGGGTTTAATCTTTGCGAACCATTGGCAAGCAGACCCCTTTAGGGTGGTAGGGAAGACTCTACACATGATCTCCTCAGGCACGTTGTGATGTTGCATGAGAGATTTGTATGTGTCAAGATGGTCGAGGGGGTCTTTGGTACCGTCAAAAATCTCGATGACAGACATCTTGAACTTCGAGGGTAAGGGATAATTAACTATATTAGTAACAAACGGTGTATCGGCATGTCATATTCATATTAGGTTTGCATGTAATTCCAAACGACTTCTTTTTTGGTCTGTTTTTTTTTTTTTTTGAATGTGGGTTTTTTTGTTTGGGGTGTGTGTGTGCCTCCCCTCCTATACTTCTCTGTTGCTTCATCAATAATTGTAGGTTTCCTCCCCGCCTTTGGGATGTCAAAGTTCGCAATTCAAAGTTCTTGTTCAAATGTAGAAAACAGTGTCATATTATTTAATAAGTTGAAGAGTGTAACAAATATCTGGGCAAGACCCCCTAATCCCAATATGTGATTTGTCACATTTATCAGATTTTGATAGTGAGAAGAGCAAGAACTTCAGGGAGCATAGGCGAGTTCACTATGATGAATTTCAGAAAGTGAAAGAACTCCGGCGAAAGGGCTCCTTACTTGAAGATGCATCTGACGAGGATGGGGATGGTCGGAAAAATGATAGGGGTGGTGATTCATCATCATCTTTAACCGGTCCACCGTCTCGGGCGCCTGTGCCTTGATGACGTTGAGGGCGTCACCGAGTTGATTTTGTACCTCTCTGATCTTCTCGTCTTATTGATTGGAGACATCCTCAGTTGGATGATGGTATTGCCTTCCATGTTTGATATATTGACTTTCTCCTTTGTCCTCCTCCTGCGCNAGCCATGCTGAATAAGCTCCTCAATCTACCTCTTTAACTAGAAGCAGTCGTCCGTATCATGACCGTGGTCGCAGTGGAAGCAACAGTTCTTACTGGAATTTCGGCATTTGGGGTCAAACTTCATCTTTCCGGGCCAACGGATCGCAAATTCATCCTATATCTAGAATAGAATATGTTCCACTGAGGTGTTGAGTGATGTGAAAGGCTGTCGATCTCTCGGGTGTCCTTTATTTTCTCTCCTCCTCAAGAGGACTCACCTCTGCAGGCTTTGGTGACGTCCTCGACGTTCATGTATTTATGTGCCCTAGATAACAGCTTGGGCATGCTGGAAGGCAGCTTCTTGAGGACGGAGAACATGAAACTGGAGGAGCAGAGACCAACGATAAAGGCAGCCAAGGCTACCTTATCATCTGGTTCCTCAATCTAGAGAGCCTCTTTATTGAAATGGGTAAGGTAGTCTCTGAGGCTTTCATCATTGTCCTGCTTGATGGTGAGCAGGTGGGTCACAGGTTTCTAATGTCGACGTCCCCCAAGTGGGAGACGAAGGATCTACTCAGTTCCATGAATGAATGGATGGAGGAGGGTTTAATCTTTGCGAACCATTGGCAAGCAGACCCCTTTAGGGTGGTAGGGAAGACTCTACACATGATCTCCTCAGGCACGTTGTGATGTTGCATGAGAGATTTGTATGTGTCAAGATGGTCGAGGGGGTCTTTGGTACCGTCAAAAATCTCGATGACAGACATCTTGAACTTCGAGGGTAAGGGATAATTAACTATATTAGTAACAAACGGTGTATCGGCATGTCATATTCATATTAGGTTTGCATGTAATTCCAAACGACTTCTTTTTTGGTCTGTTTTTTTTTTTTTTTGAATGTGGGTTTTTTTGTTTGGGGTGTGTGTGTGCCTCCCCTCCTATACTTCTCTGTTGCTTCATCAATAATTGTAGGTTTCCTCCCCGCCTTTGGGATGTCAAAGTTCGCAATTCAAAGTTCTTGTTCAAATGTAGAAAACAGTGTCATATTATTTAATAAGTTGAAGAGTGTAACAAATATCTGGGCAAGACCCCCTAATCCCAATATGTGATTTGTCACATTTATCAGATTTTGATAGTGAGAAGAGCAAGAACTTCAGGGAGCATAGGCGAGTTCACTATGATGAATTTCAGAAAGTGAAAGAACTCCGGCGAAAGGGCTCCTTACTTGAAGATGCATCTGACGAGGATGGGGATGGTCGGAAAAATGATAGGGGTGGTGATTCATCATCATCTTTAACCGGTCCACCGTCTCGGGCGCCTATGCCTTGATGACGTTGAGGGCGTCACCGAGTTGATTTTGTACCACTCTGATCTTCTCGTCTTATTGATTGGAGACATCCTCAGTTGGATGATGGTATTGCCTTCCATGTTTGCTATATTGACTTTCTCCTTTGTCCTCCTCCTGCACAGATACATGTGGAGGGAGAACACATGAGCTCCCTGTGCCCTGAGGAGGGACTACTGGGCAAGGGGTGCCCTGGTGTGGCCTTAGGGCATTCTGGCGAGGGCCCCCATGGTGGGGGGTTGCTTGGCACCCAGAGATGATAGGTTGTGGCTCCTCTCCTATTGGAGGGAGTGGAACTTCTCCCACAGGGTGAGGGGCGATGCCTACTTGGGTGAGCATCAACTATATGATTTGCTGATTTTGGTTTACCAATAGCTGCATAGTCTGTAGAAGTTGTTATCCGACGACAAGGGTCGCTATAGCAAACGGTTCCGAAGGTGCGAGGGGAGGCGGAGCCTTTTTCTGGTGGGTCGAGTTGTTGTCTCCCGGTTGTTGACTCATCGATCTGATCATAATTACCATGGGTTGAAAGAGAGAGTAGAAAACCTAGTTGTTTCCTACAAGCGGCACCAAACTGATGATACACAAATTGGAATCGTCCAAGATCAACAGTCGAGTATATGAAGAGATGCAATTAATGAGTAATAAATAGACAATCAATGGCAAAACAGTAACTATGGATTCAACACACAAATATATAGTGGTTCGGTTTAGGTGACTTACTCCACTCTTGAAAAACGGCAGCGGTGGTCGGAGGTGTTTATTGATGAATAAAGTAACCGGAATAGTATGCTCTGGGATAATTACAATGCTTTGGGGGAGAGAGAGAGACTTGTAGAGACGTGTAGAGATGTACCAAGGTGTAGAGGTCTCAAGGTCATGCCCTCTATGTGGAGAGAGCTTACATTATATAAGTAGGCGATCTCTACTATTTTGGTAAGTACAATTAAGGTAGAATTAGATCTCCGTATCTTGATATTCTCTCTTACGTGCTCCTATTCCCTTGGGTTTCCTAGATCGTGAGCTGGGTCGGACTAGGTTGGAGTGACAAAGCCAGGTGCTTGGGTGACCCCCATTTGAGCGCTGGTGACTTGGGCCCCTTTTAGTTTATTGGGCCTGACTAAATTGATTTTGGGTTCATCACTTACCATTAAATCAAAAACTCAATTTTAAAAATAAAGCAATAAGTAACAAATCAGTCCTGTAGCAATTAAATCTCTATTTTTCCCGTTCCACTGCTCAACTGATCCTTTGACTGCAATGCGAACAATAAGCTTTATTTGAAGATGCTTATCTAACATATATTCAAAATAAGGGTCCAAGTGAATGAATAAACATAAAAAATTCAGACCTTAAAATTGTCAATAATGGCTTTCCGTCACCCAAAAGAGAAAACAAAGAAGACAACCCCAAATTTCATTAAAACCCCATAAGTTTATGTATTTATATTTTGACCCCTTAAGTTTTAGAAACATCATTATATCCCTTAAGTTTCAAAAATATTATAATCACTTTCATCTACTTCATAGGAATATGAGGCATCTTTGACACATTTATTAGAGCGTGTGTGTCTATATCTATAACCAATGTTGGAAATTCCAATTGCTTATAACCAATTCTTTACTCTCTATTCTCTTTATAACATATCAGATAATTAAAAATAAGGTATATACTGTCCCAAACTCCCTCCAATACTCATTGATGTTTTAATCACAATATTGTGTCATGAATTCAATTTTTCTTTTTTGAGCACTAAAGTAGTACTTTGTCTTACATTGTAGTGAAACCATTAAATCTACTATCCAGAGTGTTTTATTTTAATGTTCTTTGTTAAATTGGCTACAATTTTTTTTATTTTAAACAACTGAAAACATTTTTTTTGTTTAATATAGTGCCTCAGGGGTGTGATTGGTCATTAATATGGGCATTTCTGCTATTTGCATGGTTGATTTCAGATGTGTGATTAGGGGGGGGGGAGTATCTTATATATGGCATACAAATTATGTTTGATGGCAGTGAAGTTGAGTGGATTGTTGAAGGTATATTGCCAAAGGAATTAATGAATCTATGTAATGCCCCGTTTTCGGGACACGTTACTTGATTTAAATTAATCGATCACAATAAACCACAAAAATATCTCTGAATACAGGGACAGAGCTCTAATTGCCTCAATAAATTTATAATCACAATTTTGATCTCCAAATATCAATAAAAGTTAAAAATTATATCAAGATTCTTCCATATTCGATTCCTCAAATATCAACTTTGGTCATTTCCTCTAAGATTCTCTTGAAAAAAGATATTAAAAGTAGGAAAGTATATAATATGACAAGAAACAATATGCTCAATGAGAAAAAAATATGAATAATCAAATATTAAATAATTCAATCGATAGACAATCATAGATAAAAGAATCAAGAATCTAATTCGATAAGTTACATAGCTCAATTTCTATCAAACATAGCCTCATATTCAGATTCTCTTTGTGACATGATAAGTGACACTTAGGCATTTAAAATTCATACACATATCAAACCATTACACCCCGCAAGGCTGTAATCACAATCGCACCCCCGCAGGGCCATAATCACATTTCACTAATTATGCCTCAAATACAATTCGTACATGTACCAATTAATACCAAATTATTAAGCCCAACGTACATGTTGACCAATAAAATTGACAGAATTTCATATCAATCAGAATAATCAATAAGAATACAAATTTCAGATAATCAAAGAACACTCTTTGCAAAGAGAATTAAAAGATAGGAGCATATTGTATACTACCACGTACCTTAAAATCATTAATAACTTCAATAGATACGAATTTTGAAGTACCTCGAACAAGATACTTCAATTTAGTAATAGTCGAAAGTAAAATTTACTATTTAATTTTTGACCCCAAAATCTCAAAAATTTCTATCTCTTCATCTCTATGTCTATCTCTTTCTCTCTCTCTTACTCCTTCCTTCCTTACATGCGTTTTGGCCTCCAGAACAAGGCTATTTATAGCCCAAGCTTTGCTTCCAACGTCACTTAGGCGATTTCACTCATTTTGCATCACATGGACAGCTGTCCAAGTTTTTCATTTTTTTTATAGTCATTTGACTTATTTTCACATAAAGAATTTATATTTGACATTAATTAATTAATTAATTTATTTTTTTAAAAAATAACCCTTAGTTATAGAGGATCAAAATTAACGACTTAATTAGCGTATTAATGAAAATTTGTTATACGAGCCGTCACAAGCTATTTTTATCATTGACTTCGAATTGGGGTGATGGTATTCATTTGAACAAGTTGAAAGTGATCCATTCAAATAGTGTTTATAAGAGAAGAGAGGTTCCATGTTAAGAAACAAACTACATGTTTTTACGTGATATTTTTGTAGAAATTTTTTGTTACATTGCATAGTAATATATTCGTGATTTTTTTTTCATGGTGGTTTCATATTTTCGCGTGTATAGTCATAATTATATATAATATGTTATTGGTAGTAGTTTTACCGAACATGTGGTTGAATATTAAAATAGTGGATTCTGATATAATAAAATGTACATTTCTTAATGTTCTCAGCACTCTTTTATTTAGTATGTCTTTTAATTGATAATAACTTTTTTTACTACTTTGTGTTTCATGTACAATAAATTACTAGTATATATATATATATAACGAGAAGTGTTTTACAGACACATTTGAAGAGTCTATAAAAAGAAGTGTTTTACAGACACATTTGAAGAGTCTCATCATTGCTCACTCGACATGTCCTTTCACTTTCATAGGAGTTAGAGAGAAAAAGGGAACATAAATCTGAGTGACAGGTTTGTAATTGAAGAGAAATGTTTGATTTATTACGAACAATTATCAATATCTTGTGATCAATTTTTGTGTATTACATTATGTGATCAATTTCTGTATTTCTATGTTGGAGGAAAAGAATAAAAGATAAAGGAGTAAAAAAAAATTTGGATAAAAGAAAAAAACTCCTGGGATAAGATGATAATTTTTTAAAAAGATTTAAGTCTAAAAAAAAAATTTATCCATTGGAGAGACTTGTACCAAATTAAATTTTTTACCTTTTTTTTGTTACTCAAATGTGGGCAAGGGTATGAATCTCCATTAAAGATGATTTTACATCTCTGAAAGATAAAGTTACAATTGGTTTTTTTTCCTACAAGGTGTTCAGACTTGCACTGACTATTCTCTTGAATTCAACAATATATCCCTAAATGGACAAGGGTGACTTATAAAAAGGGATTGATCATGAGACTTTTGAACTACCAAAAATCAAACTTAACGATTGAACCATCCCTAAGGGTTGGTTGAGCGAAGTCTCTTTGAGCAGTTACAACTTTTTCTTAAATTGACATTTAAAAGTTGTGACTTTGTCACGCCCCAAATTTTATAAAAGCGTGATTAAAACAAATACTTTGTTTATTCCCAAAAAACATGCCGATTTGATGTAAAACATCTAGAAAAGTATCTCTTTAGTTTAAATAAATTATTTTTTTAAAAAAATTTCAACAGAGTTTTCTTCGAAAATCGGGCATCCAGATAATTTGTGAGAGTTACCTGTGAGAGCATTAAATATAATAATTATACCTAACTAGTCATTCACATCATATTAATCATATGCATCCCTTCTCATGATATTTACAAATAAGTCATTACCGTTCAATATCGGGGTGACAAATGAAGGCCCACGAAATCCTCCCAAACTAGGGTTATAAACTAGTTATCCAAAATTCTTTGTCATGAACATAATATACAGAATATCTAAAATATTTATAATAAAATCATTTAAAATGTCTCAATCTATATATATTTCCTCAAATTAACCAAGATATAAATCACTTACAAATCCTCAATAATATACATCATCGTACATTGTTCTTTACATACTCTAACTAAATATATAAAAATCATAACAACTATCTTCTGCCTCGATATTCCCACTATGCAGTCAACCAACATATGTCCATAACTGAAAATGTTAAATGATAGGGGTGAGCAACCACACGCTCAGTAGGATAATCTTTTTCTCTAGCATATACAAGATTTTAAATACCAACAGTTCACAATCATATTGATAGGTAAAGAAATAATTTATTAACAAGTTTAGGTACACGATAAGTAGTAAGCATTTTTGAAAGTACACTACGTACTATCATTTGAAATACATAAGTGAAACATCAAAGAATTTATCACATCGAAATCAAATCTCAAAATAACACCATAAAACCTCTCTTCTTAAAACATAATGAAAAACCATTGATTTTATAAAGTACAAACTGAGAAATCTTTATACATGTATATGTATAACAAATCTGGTAAAGTAATGATTTCTTATTTTGAACACAATTCATAAACTTGTTCTTTTCAGAGTATTTTTCAAAAATATTAACTCCATATATTTTCGTCTCAACCTCACCTTACCTCACCCAACTCAAGAAGTTTGTTGGAATATTGGTTTATTGGTTTTTTGGCACCCAAAATCTATATATGCTACCCATACGAACAGATATTATCAACAAACACCGATTCATGAATGAACCATCCTCAGGAAATTTTTTGGGTCTTGCACCCTAGGGTCTCATCGCCCTTCTTGTATTTCAGGGGGGATGTGTAGGGCACAACTTGCGATGCTACACAAGCTATCACCGAAAACCACAACCATCACCAATCCCCCCTAGGACTAGTAGTCGCCTTGGTAAACCCCCTCAAGGGTACAACCGTCTACTAACCCTCTGTTTGTCAGTAACGAATATACAAGTTTCAAACTATAATTTCGTGATCACCTTCCATTCCCAACACCGACCACAACTTCGACATTTTTTTTAAAATACATAGTAAAATCTCACATTTCTATTTCCAACATAACACATTCTCAAAATAACTAACATACACACCAAAAATATAATTTGTACCATTTTATAACAAATTTTGCAAATTAAATGATTAAGAAGTTATATAGATCAACACCACCATTTTCATACTTTAAAATAACTTAACAATATCCCAAATCATGTTAAAATATACTTAATCATATCATAAAAATTCATACCTCCTTTCAAAATTTATCATTTCAATACTTATAGTTACTTTGACATTTTATCAAACACATTTACAAAGGAACATACTCATTCTTAAGAGACAAATCACATATATTCTAAAGAATCCAAAATCTAAAGTTCAATCAAACACCCATAACAAAAATCAAGTTAGGGTTTCAAACCCACAATACTTAAATTCATTTAATGCATGTAGGTTTATAAATTCATAGTAAACTCATCATTTAATTAAGACTCATAGTATGTATTTAGCTCATACTAAACAAATAGATATAAAACATACATGAGATGCATCAATGTATATGCAAGATTAAGGAAAACTCTACTTAGAAATCAAAAATTTCAAGCCAAGTTCCTAGGATTTTCAAGCAAAACTCAAGCTTTACAGACCTTCTTCTTCCTCTTTCTCTTTCCCTTTGTCTTCTCCTAGGGTTTTAAGAGATTTTGAGTGAGAGTGAAATGAAAGAATGGAAGAAAAGGGGTTGAAATTTGTGTTTTAAACACAGTAGTCCCAAATTTTTTTTGTTTATGGGCAAAAAGAAAATATATTTTTCTCTGAAATTACGATTTTACCATTAAATATTTCAATTTGATCCATATGACTATCCTAAGGTTTTTTGACGTTCCGGATTCATTTTTAATGTTATTTTTTATCTAAAAACATTTAGTTTTATGATTTATCTCAAAAATAAAGTTAATTTACATCCAAAATACTAAAATTACTATTTTACTCCTTCAAACCGCTATATAAGCTAAACGTCCATTTCAATTTTTTTCAAACCTCCCAGATTCAATGATAATATTATTTTAATATAGAAAAATTAATATTTTTATTTAATTACCATTATCAACCTTAAATACCTTCAAAAATTAAATTAACCAAAAAGTCAATACTTTCGTGCCTTAAACTTGCTCGACTATTTAATTAACAACGATTAGAAATTTCTTTCATTATTTTATTCATTTTAAAAATACTATCAAGTTAATATCATTTATATTTATATGAAATACGGGATCTCACAAACTTGATGTTAAAAAATTGTATGAAGAATTATGTCTAGATCCCTTGAAGTTTGTCACTTAGTTATTCAGACTTTTGACATTTGAAATATTACATACAAACCTCCTAAATTTTATACGCACATAACACTTAGACTCCTGTCATCAAATGTCTGTCAGTATATCTGTTAATAAATTACACTAAACCCTTAAAGTTTGTAGGCGTATAATACTTAGACCTTTCAAGTTTAAAATATTATACTTAGATTAAAAATACTACAATCAAATATAAAATATAAAATATTTTAAATTTTAAAACCAAAATTCATTTATTGAAATAAAATAAAAAATAAAAGCCAATTTCTTCTTAACAAATCCTAATTATTATACAATTTTACTATCTATTGGAATAAAACTAAAAAAAATCAAACAAAGGATCTAAGTCATTCATAATAGAACATGAATTTTATAACTAAAATTCATGGTCTATTTTATCATTTATTGAAATAAAATAAAAAATAAAAATCTAATTTTTCTTGCAAAATAATAATTAATGTACAATTATACTATCTATTGAAATAAAACTAAAAAATCAAATAAGGGATCAAACTGTAATAGACACAATATATTCTAACTTTAATTTGGGTAATTTGGTTGTTTAGACCACCAAATTAAATTCCAATAGATAGTATAATTGTATAATAATTATATTTTTTAAGAACAAATTAGAATTAGAATTAGAACTTTATTTTTAATTTTATTTCAATAAATGTTATAGTGGAACTTGAATTTTGTTTGTAAAATTTAAAATATTTGATATTCTATTTTTGATTGGAGTATTTTTATTCAGCGTATAATAATTTAAACTTGAGAAATTTAAATATTATACGCCCATAAATTTTAAGAGATTTAGATGTAATTTATTAACGAATATTGACGACAGANAGAACAAATTAGAATTAGAATTAGAACTTTATTTTTAATTTTATTTCAATAAATGTTATAGTGGAACTTGAATTTTGTTTGTAAAATTTAAAATATTTGATATTCTATTTTTGATTGGAGTATTTTTATTCAGCGTATAATAATTTAAACTTGAGAAATTTAAGTATTATACGCCCATAAATTTTAAGAGATTTAGATGTAATTTATTAACGAATATTGACGACAAANTTCAAGTTTAAAATATTATACTTAGATTAAAAATACTACAATCAAATATAAAATATAAAATATTTTAAATTTTAAAACCAAAATTCATTTATTGAAATAAAATAAAAAATAAAAGCCAATTTCTTCTTAACAAATCCTAATTATTATACAATTTTACTATCTATTGGAATAAAACTAAAAAAAATCAAACAAAGGATCTAAGTCATTCATAATAGAACATGAATTTTATAACTAAAATTCATGTTCTATTTTATCATTTATTGAAATAAAATAAAAAATAAAAATCTAATTTTTCTTGCAAAATAATAATTAATGTACAATTATACTATCTATTGAAATAAAACTAAAAAATCAAATAAGGGATCAAACTGTAATAGACACAATATATTCTAACTTTAATTTGGGTAATTTGGTTGTTTAGACCACCAAATTAAATTCCAATAGATAGTATAATTGTATAATAATTATATTTTTTAAGAACAAATTAGAATTAGAATTAGAACTTTATTTTTAATTTTATTTCAATAAATGTTATAGTGGAACTTGAATTTTGTTTGTAAAATTTAAAATATTTGATATTCTATTTTTGATTGGAGTATTTTTATTCAGCGTATAATAATTTAAACTTGAGAAATTTAAGTATTATACGCCCATAAATTTTAAGAGATTTAGATGTAATTTATTAACGAATATTGACGACAAATGTTTAAGTGTTATGCGTATAAATTTTAAGAGGTCTGTATATAATATTTTAAATATCAAATGAGTGATATAAGCGACAAACTTCGTACTGATCTGAGTGTAATTTTTTTCAAAATCATAATTTTTGATAATTACATATTGTGAGAACCGTTTGATTTAAAAATAAAATAAGAAGAATTTGTTATAAATGAGTATCGCTGCACTGGATTAGATACTCATGGGTGGCCAAGGCGATCCACAATGTGTGCACCAGAAAAGGTAAACCCAACTGCCGTAGAGCACAGCAATGGGGTCACCAACACCATCAACATACCTGTTCACCTCCTCCCCCGGATGGAGAATTCCCACTTCATCTCAAACCTTCATCCAGCCGTCAAAATTCTCTTTTGAAAACCCTCTTTACCTCAAGATCACTGAAACTCCTCTTCTCAAATCCACAAACCACTATCTTCTCAGATCCCCTAGACCAGCAACAAGAGGCACCCTTAATGACGAAGGCCAAAGTACCATTACCAGTACCACCCCTCTTGTTGTTCAAGAAGAAGTTGAACTACTCAATAAGGTATGATTTCCCCAAATTTTAAAGCTCTCAAATGAGCATAATTATCTTGCTTTTGTGAATGTCATTTGCTAAGTGATACCATATGATTATGTGTCATGTTTGAATGGGTACTACGTTTCTGTAATTCTTTAGGATTATCTCAATTATGCTATTCTTTTTGTTTAGTTGACCAAATTGTGTGTTCTTAAATGGGTACTTATCATTGTTTGTGAGAATTTTTCACAAACTCGGGAGAATTTCGTTGTAAATGAGTATAGCTAAAGCAAAAACAAAGAAGTTGAAAAACATAATTGAACAAAGAATAGCTCACTTATGCTGTTCCTCTTTTCAGTGCAGAGTGAGGCAAATACTATTGACTTTGTTATCGCTGGATTGATTCATATAGTGTGTTCTCAGTGGGAACCTTTTTTTTAATGGGTACTTTGAGGTAAGTCAGGTTTTTATTGTTGCTTAGGAAGTTGAGGAGAGTGTGAAAGTGCTGAAAAATGCAGCAAAGACGAGAAAAGTTGCTGCAGAGGAGATTCTGGCTGCTTTATCTGTGATTGAGAAGGCGAAACTTGATCCTTCCCAGTTTCTCGAGACTCTAGGGGGATCAAAATCCCCTGGGAATACCTGGATGCTTATATTCACTGCTGAGGTTAATATTCATTCTATTTCTTGATCTGATTCTTTGTCTTTGCACTATGATTTTATTTATTTCCTTTTCTAGTTGCAGTAGATTCTTATTTGATGTACTGTTTTGTAGAAACGGCTAGAGCGTGGTAAATACTTCCCCATTACTGCTGTTCAGAGGTTCGATGCAGCTGTAAGCATCGTTATGCTCTTTTTGTAGTTAATTCTATTGTTGTTGTTGTTGTTGTTGTTGCTGTTTTTGTAACAATTACGGCATGCCCATGAGAATGAAAACCTCTATACAAAATGAAAAATAATGGGGANGTTTTGTAGAAACGGCTAGAGCGTGGTAAATACTTCCCCATTACTGCTGTTCAGAGATTCGATGCAGCTGTAAGCATCGTTATGCTCTTTTTGTAGTTAATTCTATTGTTGTTGTTGTTGTTGTTCTTGCTGTTTTTGTAACAATTACGGCATGCCCATGAGAATGAAAACCTCTATACAAAATGAAAAATAATGGGAATGTCGGAGTCATTTCAGGGAAGAAAACCTTCTAATGGCTACTAAAATGTGGGATACTATAAAAGGAAAGTGGAGTTCAGTCAGCACCACTATAGTTCAAGTGAAGGCTCCTCTTTCAACTGCAATCGACTTTTTATAGCTCATGCACCTCTTCTTCTGGGAATCGTTTTGATGGTGAAAGTTATTGGAACTTACATCACATATATGCTTGTGGAACCAGAATGAAGTTCTTAATTTTTCCATGAACTTCCCTGTCCACAGTTAATGTCCATGACCACGTACCTTCATACTTTGTTTTGCCTGCCACACTATAGACCTGTCTTCTTTCTCTTCCTTATATGGGCTTAACATAATTTTGTACGTAACCCACATACCTGACCAAAAAAAAAACCCACATACGAGTTTCTTACTCATCTCCATATATATATATTGCAACTTCATATATATACCGTGGGTTTGCAACATCATCTCCTTAAGTACCATACTTTCTACAAATATCACCTATGAAAGTTTCCATGAAAGTTTGGGAAATAAGTGAGAAAATATGTTATTGAGGTAAAAATTTACAAAGAAACTGTACGATGACAATTAATTTCAGATGTACTGAGACTGTATGTTGTTTCTTTTATATGTTGCAAATATCTTGCAAATATTTTTTGAGCAATGCTATTGGGAGTTAAAAATTTGACTTAATTTGTTGACCTAATTCACTGTGACTTTTGGATTGACTGCAGGCCCCATCAAACATTGAAACTTGGTGTTGATCCAATGATTCCTATTAAGCCACATTATTATGTCAGCAAATAGGTCCAAATAGCATTACCCATATTTTTTTAACTAATATCACCTATGGCTTGTTTAGTAGTTTAAGCATCTCTGTGGAGAACGAAAAAAGAATGACTTGCTTTAAATGTTGATGTACAAATATGGTTTGGGTTTTTAGATGGTTAGCTTCCAACTGGTAATCAATTATGTAGAAAATAGTAGGATGTTCTTTTGAACTTCAGGTAATGATGTATCCTGATTTAAATTGCCAGGCGAAGAGGATCGAGAATGGAGTTTATCTGGGATCTCTAGGATGCTTAACATTCGAAGGGAGGATCTCATGGAACACAAGAATACTTGCATTTATATTCGAGTGCATTTGGATAAAATTTGGACCTTTTAAGCCATTTGAGATAAATTTTGGAGGAAAAGATGACAGAGAGCCAAGCAACAAGGATCCTTTCTTCATCTGGTTTTATATTGACGAGGAAATAGCTGTTGCTCGGGGCAAAAGTGGGGGGACTGCTTTTTGGGTCCGATGTAAGCGAATCGCCGGTTATTCCTTTCTTTCCATGTTTTAGTTGTATATGCATACATGGATGATCCTAGAAGCATGGAAATTTGTTGTGTTACACTCTGATGATGCACAAATTAGTTTTATATACCACTTGTCAAGTAATTAGTAATTAATGTAGTAATTAAGAAGAGAAAGTTAACACTAGTAAGACAAAGATGTAGAGTGGTTCGGTCAACATGACCTACTCCACTGTGAAAGGTTAAGATGACTTAGTGTTTTATTACTTTAAGGAGTGTAAATAGATCAGGAGAGAGCCGAAGAGATATAAGCTATGCGACAAGTGGGAGTGATACATGTTCGATGCCCTTATGTATTTGTGGGGTTTACAATTTATAATGCCTCATAATAGATTGAGGCTCCTTTTTAGTAACTAAGTAGTTAATTTGGTGGAGCTGACGTCATCCTCTCAACGACTGAGGCAGTTACGGAGCTTCCTTGAGATCAGGTCAAATGATGACGTGGTTGATTTCTTTCAAGGCGGTGTGAACGAGGCTCTTGGGATGGCGTTGCCTACTCTTTGATTGCGTAGCTCCTGAAACCCTAATGAACTTGACTGGCTGTGAGCCTCTTTTGGGTTGGATCTATTGGGTTTCATCTAATTAGGCTTATAACCTGAGTTGGGCCTTTAAGCCCGGTCCATCATTTGTCCCTTAGTGCCTCAAGTTCAATAAGACTTGGAGAAGAGGGCATTTACTTGAATTTGGATTTTGGACTGAGACTCCTCTTGACTGATGATCCTTTTTTTTTTTATAGGTCACCGGACATCTCTAGCTATACAAATTCCCCCTCATTTTATTTCCTATTAGGATTTCAAAAAGCCCTAGGCTATAAATTGAGAGTTTTTCCTTTTCTCCTTATTTAATTCATTTTGAAAGAGGATTCTTCTTCGAGATATTCAAGAACCCAAGTAGGATGAGTGAGGCTAGAGACCTTGTTCCTGAGATGAGTTCTCAGAGATCAATGTCGTGTGAAGAAGAAAGGGCGCGAAGATCCGTCAGTTAGGATGTCAATGGCGGTGGAACAATTGGAGGCGGTTGTTGGTGTGGTGGTGACCGAAGGAGGAGGCTCTAGCTAGGAAAGGAACCCAGTCAACATAGGTGAGGTGCCATTGGTGCTACTAGGCAAGACGCCATGGGCGTCCTCGAGCGAGGTGCCATGGGCACTGTATGGCGAGCGGGTGGAGGCTTCATCTAGCGAGGCTGATCGTGGAGCAAGCATGACAGAATTGGTGCTCCTGGGTGTTGGACAAGGATCGACGAGCGCAAGGGTAGCCTTGCTAGGCACTGGGCGTGGCCAGGCAAGCACGCAGGCAGCGCCGGTGAACACTAGGTGCGACCAGGCGAGTGCGCAAGCGTGGCTGGGCACTAGGTGTAGCCAGGTGAGCATGCAGGCGACACATGGCGACAGGAGTTGGGCACGGCGGCAGGAGTTGGGCACGGAGCCATGGAGCATGGTCATGGAGTTATGGAGGGGAGTACGCTGGGAGATGTTGGTATTTCTAGTGGCAACAGTTCTGGTCAAACGGCGGATGGTATGGTTCGTTCAGGTGGAAATGTTTCTCTTTGCCTTCACAACAACAAATATCGAGGAAAGGTAACTCTTGACGACGACATATCCAAAGTACCATTTCTAGTACCCTTAACACCAACACTGATATTCTGTGGATTATTTCCATTTATAATATTCTTTCAATGGTGCTGTGTCGCTGAGCTGAAATGGGTGAGTCTGCTTGTGACGACTTCTTTGGAGACATTACTATTTATGAGGAGGTACTCGAGACTAGGCTGAGGTTTCCCATGCCTTCTTATATTTTTCATATTCTCCATTGTTTTTCCCTTGAGCTAGGGTGCTTGGCGCCTAATGGTTGGAGAGTCCTGTTGGGATTCGTAGCATTGTGGAGGAAGGTCTATCATGCGGATGCTTCTCCTGAAAAGTTTTGTGCAGTTTACTTTTTGAGTGAGACTTCTGCTCCCAATCGTAGCTGGTATTATTTTGCTCTGAGGAGAGGAAAATTGATTACTGAACTGAGTTCTAATTGCCATAGTTGGAAGGCTTGCTTCATATTTGTTGGAGGAGACTGAGTTTCAGAGACTGACAAGACTTTGGTGCCTGCAAGATGGGACACTCCCAAGAGAATTGGTATGCCTGCTTTTTATTCTTTTTCCTTTGTCTTTTTACGAACGTGTGCTCATCACATTTCATTTAGGCTCTCTGATGCTCTCAAAAGACCAAGAGTGGAAATTGCAAGTTGTGAAAGCTCACCCTATGCAGAACTTTGGGACTCTCACGCTTAAAGAGGGTGGAGCTAGAGACTCTCCCATTGGAAGTGCTGGGGTTGGTGCATCACCTTCCAGAGCTGGCGGTTCCTCCTAGAAGAGGAAAGATATGTTGATTTCCTCAAGATTCTCGTCCTTTACTTAATTTTTCTTCAGGGTAACACTTTACCCCTCTGCAGTGGATAGGACGGTGGTGGAATCTCGATATTCCACTAGGAGTACTCCCCCACCTAAGGTGGCTAGGGTGAGTGATGCTCTGGTGAGTCTTGTTGGAACGGAAATCTCAAGAGCTGTTGACAGAGCGTATATATCGAATATCAAAATTTTTTCTTTAAAACCCTATAAAGCGAAATTAGGGTTTACCTTCGATATCTCTCGGGACTGATCTTGTCTCAACATGAACGCAGAATAGAACAACGACTACAGCTTGACGAATCTTGTGGCCTTCTATCGTATATCCCCCAATGTCAGAATCCAGATGCAGTGTGGGCTGCTAAGAACTCCGAATCTTTGCTCTCTTTTAGCCTCTCTAAAAAATGTGAGTAAAGAATAGATGCTGAAATAGAGAATCTAGACGTCTATATATAGGCTACGATAGAGACCCTAAGGATAAATAAGGACCGGGCTCCCAATGGATTTAGGATTCCTATTTTTAACTCAAAATAAACATCTTACAACCCATTAATAATAAGTCAGTCCACTAAAGACTTATTATTGATCTCTTGAGCCTTATCTCAGTATTATATTCAAGCTCCTTATTATTATATGCTTAGTAATCTCCACATGTTTAAGATTATAGATGTCCATCAATTAAATGAATCATTGACAATTATATTTGACTTCTTTTATTCTTTGAGACCTTATCACTAAATTTATTTGTCATGTCGGATAATTAAATCTACCTGTAAGGTTTGACATAGACNTCATTGACAATTATATTTGACTTCTTTTATTCTTTGAGACCTTATCACTAAATTTACTTGTCATGTCGGATAATTAAATCTACCTGTAAGGTTTGACATAGACAAAACTTATGAGTTTCCTCAAGAGGATATCGTCAACCTTTTTAAATACTAGTATGTGATTTTCTTTAATATTTAATTTCCACCATACAAATAACATCATCTCCCAATTCATCGAGCTTATTAACCCAATATGAATCTCACTCTTTGATGAACTAAAGTAACAAATATTATATACATGTGGCAATTAAATATTTAGGGATTAAGAGCATAAATAATCATAATAATCATGAGATATTTATTATCTTATTAAATCAGTAAAAGACAATAACCTAAACACGGGTCTGTTCAATACACAAAGTGTATTAGTGTAATAATCTGAGACATCAAACAATCTCTTACAGTCAAGACATACTATGTTAGAATATTACACTACAATCATATTGATGGCGTTTTCAATTTCATTTACGATTGTGAACATATACTCATATTATACAAGGATCCGATAATCTGATTTTCTGTACATAAGTCAAAATCTACACACCAGATTATCTACAATATAAAATATAAGACACATATGCATATTATATATAAAATATAATACAAATATTTTACCCATATAGATTCTCAATAAAGTGAAAAGAACAAATTTTTATTAATTAACAAAATAAGTTTCACTACAAAAATCAAACTTTTAGTGTACTACTCTATCAAGTCCTTCTTAGATGACCCATTCAGTGGCACCTCCTCAATCAGCGGCTCCTTCAGAGGTTAATATGGTGACCTCCCCTTCAGAAACTTCCTAGGCGGCTACACCTCTTGCCCCCTATTCTTTAACTCCTCCTGCAAAGACTCTCTAGGCGACTACACCTCTTGCCCCCCATTCTTCAACTCCTCCTGCACGGAATTCCACAGGGGCGCCACTCAGAATCTCTCCATGCTGGGTGACGTTTGGATTGTTAGGGAGCAACTCAAGATATTCATGTTTCCTGTAGACATCAATCAGGTTGGTGCTCGGGGCACTGGGGGCATCAATAACATTGTTCTGGAAGGTCTGACCCAAGTAAGAGTCTGCTTTCTCCCTTGCTCTTGTCCTTCCCTTAGGTACCAATATTATTTTATCTTTATTCAGGTTTCAACTGCATCCATATGCCTTTTTTCAAGGGTTGTTCAGTTCAGTCACCTGTGCTTAACTATCAGAGATGAGAGGTTTGCTCATGAAGTTGTGAAAAAGGAGCTTCTTGGGCTCAGGGGAGGATTGCTGAGGTTGAGACTGATGGTAAGGCTTTCTATACTAAGCTTATGGCGACCCGTGAGAGGGTTGTGCTCAGAGAGGCTGCTTGCACGAGGGCTAAAGCAGAACTTGTGGTGACCCGCGAGAGGGTCGTTGAGCTCGAGGCAGATGGTGAGGTGGCCTGCTTGAGAGCGGAAATAGAGTTAAAGGCAGCTCGCGAGAAGGTTTTCTGAACTTAGGCAGATTTGCGATTGGCTCATTAGAGGCCCACCAAGGCCAAGGTTGATTCAGAGAGTGACCTTGCAGAGATGCCTTTATTGATGGCTACAAGGAGCTTCGGGGAAAGATTTCTGCTGCTTTCCCTGATATTGACTTTTCAGGCTTTGTGTCGTATGAGACGCTTGATGATGCTGATGGTAACTCTAATGATGCAGAGGATGAGGACGAAGAGGATGACGACCATTAGAGCAGTTAGAGTGCTGGAGACTTTTGATTTTTTTTGGTAGAAAGGTATTGTTTAGCCTCGCTTTTGCAAAAGTAGTTTTTTTTACCACTGATGTTCATTAGAAATAGAATGCAAAGGATCTTTTGAAGTAAATTTAGAAAATTTTATTTGATGAATGCTTACGTTAAGCAATAGTGGATAATAACCCAAAAAAGGTACAAAAAATAAAATCAAGCTCCCCAGCTTTATTATTTCTGCCCTCCTCAAGAGTCATTAGTAGTACCTCTTTAGATGCTCAGCATTCCATGGATGGGGTGAGACTATTCCTTCAAAATTTTGGATCCTGTAGGTGTCTAACCTCACTATTTCTATTATGAGGTAGGGTCATTTCCAATTTGGTCCAGGCTTCCCTTCTCCGGAATCCTTCGTGTTGGTGATTACTTTCTTTAGAACTAAGTCTTCTGGTAGGAAGAAACAAGGCTTCACCCTCGAGTTGTAGTATCTCACCATACGACGATTGTACTTCGCGTTTTGGACCATGTCCATTTCTCTTTCCTCCTCTACTAAATCGAGGTTGACGCAGAGTCCTTCCTCATTAGTGATGGGGTCATGATGTTGGACCCTTAGAGAATGTATCCCAATTTCTACAGGTATGACTGTTTCAGTTTCAAAGACGAGTGAGAAAGGAGTGTCTCCAGTCGGGGTCCTTGGCGTCGTTCGATAGGCCCATAATACTCCTTGAGAGCTTGTCTACCTAAAGACCGTTTGCTCTTTCCAATCTTGTCTTTAGGTTGCGTTATACTGTCCTAAATGTGACATCTGCCTGCCCGTTTGCCTGCGGGTGTGCTAGACTGGAATGAGGTTACTTTATCTGGAGGTTGGCGCAAAAAAGAATTCAGGAGTTTGTTGTTGAACTGTTTGGTGTTATCACTGACTATGGCGTGGGTTACTCCAAAGCAACATACTAGGTTTTTCCAAATGAAGTTCTTGACCTTTGCATTTGTTATCTTGGCTAAGGGCTCGGCTTTCGCCTACTTTGTGAAGTACTCGATAGCTACCACCACAAACTTGCACTGTCCTCTACTCGGAGGTAGAGGGCCCAAGATGTCGATGCCCCACTTGAAAAAGGGCAATGGAGTTCTGATGGTTGTCAATTCCTCTGGTGGTTGCTTGGGCACAGTGGGGAAACGTTGACACTTGTCGCATTTCTTGGTGAATTCTTGTACATCCTTAATCATGCTAGGCTAGAAGTNATGCCCCACTTGAAAAAGGGCAATGGAGTTCTGATGGTTGTCAATTCCTCTGGTGGCTGCTTGGGCACAGTGGGGAAACGTTGACACTTGTCGCATTTCTTGGTGAATTCTTGTACATCCTTAATCATGCTAGGCTAGAAGTAATTTTGTCTAATTGCCTTATAAGCTAGGGAACGACCTCCAGAGTGGTTTCCACAAGCTCTTTCATGGATTTCCCGTGAGACATAGTTAGCTTCCTCTGAGAAGAGGCATCAGAGTAATGGTAGGGAATAACCCTTCTTATACAAGATGCCCTGTAGGAATGGTGAATTTGGAGGCTCTCATTCTAATTTTTTTTGCTTCCAATGAGTTGTCTGGTTGTATGTCTTCCTGAAGGTATGCCTTGATGGGGGTCATCTAGTTGAACTAAGAAGATATGTAGCTGACA